GTCATCTCACGGCTGTCACGACACGGCTGTCATCTCACGGCTGTCACCGCACTGCTGTCATCTCACGGCTGTCACCGCACGGCTGTCACCGCACGGCTGTCACCGCACGGCTGTCACCGCACGGCTGTCATCGCACGGCTGTCATCTCACGGCTGTCATCTCACGGCTGTCATCTCACGGCTGTCACTGCACGGCTGCCCCAGACACGTGAAGCCAAGTGATTAAAAAAACAGGGTACGTCATCGATGTAAGGGGAAACAACAACAACAAAACCTTAGATTAATAATTTCCTCAATTTACAATACAGTTCCGCAATCTTGTTCCATTTATTTGATGCCAACGTGCTGTTGGGTGCCCCCATTAGGTGTCTAATGTTGAATGTTGTCTTAGCAAACATTTTTTTTTTAACAAAGGGGCGATACTGTTGATTAACTATAGTAAAGAAAGAACGACAACCCAAAAAGTGCTAATTACATGTAACAATCTATTTATACTAACAACGTCATTAACTTACAGCAAGTGAGTAGTATAATACAGTCGAACCCGGTTATGTCAACGGCCTCAGGGGTTTACAAAAATCGTCGAGATAACCGATGATCGAGATAACCGAAAACCAGTATTGCGGCAATATATTAACATGTGCATGAAATTTCTTTACAGACACGATGTGCGTTTATAAATGAGGATGTTCATGCACGTGTATTTTAAGTGTTTTTTTGTTGTTATTTTTTACACAACAGTGTTACAGCGATTTGTTTGATGAAGCGATCGGCATGCTATACAAATGTAAATACATGTTTGCTAACAACACAAGGCATATGTGGGGTGCCACTTTTGCAGATTATCCCGGAATTCCGGATTCGTGAAGCTAAATATTTTTCAGGCCCGGATCGCGAGTTGTTATTTTCTTATTTTCTCTCGCTCCGGATTCACCAGTTCGGTTGATTCAAATAGAGCATTTAGTCAAAATGGAACCGGAAACGCATCGCCGCTACTCGTACCCGGGTCCCTTTAGACTCAATGCTATTCGGGTGTCATTTGTGGTAGTTTAGTTTAGTTAAACTGAAGAATTAAGTTTACAAACAAATAGTCCATTCAATTATCTTTCATTTGATACTAAATTTTGTCTTACAACCTAACAATAATATTATTTTTTAAAATTTTAATCCCACTTCTAACTTCTTGGACCCGGGTCCGAATAGCCACTTCGATACCGTAATATGTAGTCAAAAGTTTGATGGTGCATTCTGAAATAATAAAAAAAACTTTTTTCTGGTTGCTGCAGCTGCCTTGGAATTGGAAACAATGTATGGAATTCTCCACACCCGCCTCTCTCTACAAAAATTGGGTTTACCCACTCACTTCTCTGGTTCTCTGACAATAATAATTTTAATCATGGATTCTCCATCAAATAAGACATAATTCCTTTACTCCAGTTTTTATTTTATTTTTTTTAAAATGTAAAATACAATAAGCTCAATAAAAATCTATGTTTATTGTAATAGTCGTTAGCGCTAATGAAGAGACAGCTAAATCAAGGCTGTAGTTATGATAAACAATAAAGATTCGGATGTGATCGGTTGCAGTGTATTCTCAATGTCTACAATGTCCGACGTACTGTTCTACCAAACGACCGGTCTCGTCGCCAGTCTTGAAATCCGGACCTAGTGTGTGCGCACCCTAACAATGAATTTTAAACCGGAAAAAATACACGTCTATTTTTTTTATATATATAATTAAATTACAAATAAAGCTTTGAAATTTATAAAATAAAATTTTAGTTTATACATTAAAAATGTTGATGAAAATACTACAAAAAATATAACGTTTGTCTGAATTATAAAGTCATTTGCGCGTCACTATTTTTGTTTTATTCTTTTCCTCGCACCCGCGTAAAATGCCTCCTCAACCCCTTAAACTACCACCAGGGACACCACTTGGGTAGGGCAGGGTGGGGCATTTGCCCCCCCCCCCCCAGAATTTATAGGTTTTATTTAAATTCTTATGTAATGTGGCGCTTCCAGTAATAAACAACTTACCCCTCCCCGGAAAAACTGAAATGACGCCCCTGACAACCACCTCGCACCCCCCGTGGTTGCGCATTCGAGACGGAGAAACCTTGCTTTGACTTTGAGGCGACACTGAGGAGAAGTGAACAAGAAAAACCACCCCAAAAAAAACGGAAGTAACTCTTGACAAACGAAATGAGAAGGTCTTGAGAAATAAGGTCCCGATTTGAATAGAACTGTAAGTGCCTGGGAGCGTGGAGTATCCAACCCTGAATCAGAGTCAGAGGGGGGGGGCGGGGGGGGTGGGAAGAAACACACCAGTCGGCAGTTGTTGTCTTTGATCGGGTGACATCCATGTTGTCAGTTCCTGGAAACGGTATGGACCCCCAGGTGGCGGCGGAATATTCCAAGGGGGCGGTAAACTGCATTAGAGAATTCAAGTGGGCGTTTGGACGACCTAAGGGGGCGGTGGTGGATTATCTCGGAAAACCTGTACTTTTTATTAACATTATATAACTTTTGACAAAATGATTTAAACTTGTCGGAATCCTTCCTTAAAGGCCTCGGGAAAAGATTCATGAATAGACACCAATCAATCAGGCCAAGGGACTCAAAACAACAAGAGACATATTCATTCACTTAGTCACGTGAAGTCAATGCACCGTACCAAAACAGTGAACGCACTTTAAAGAGGAGCCGCCGACTTATTAGTCTACGCGTTCACTGGGCGCAGAAATAAGACATGAAATCATAAAGCTTATTTACTGTGCGATACACCCTGGCAAACAATGTTGCTTGTTATCAAGGCTAGTCTTTCCTAACAATAACATTACGCTCGTCAACTTATGGAAATGCAATGCGTTGCCAGAAATGACCGTAGTCGCGCCGATTGGTCGCGTACAACTTGTACAACTTGTACTACTTTATTTAAGCGTTTTTATTTTCATCGCCATCTATTTTTCTTGCTGATTCCTAAGACGAGTTGACGTCATTTTTTTTTTTTTTTTTTATGAGGGAGAGTGGCCCGACTGTGTTTATGTTTTATTTTTCATGACTTATAAATCAATGAACATTGTATCCGCGTAATTTGTTTACTTTAAAGCGCCAAATAGGTTTTACTTTTTATTTTTTTTTTTTTAAGGTTTTTTATTTACATTACTATCTATTTTCTTTGTTGTTTCCTAAGACGGGTTGTCGTCATTTTTTTTTTTTTTTTTTTATGAGGGAGAGTGGCCCGACTGTGTTTATGTTTTATGTTTCATGACTTATAAATCAATGAACATTGTATCCGCGTAATTTGTTTACTTTAAAGCGCCAAATAGGTTTTACTTTTTGATTGTTTTATTCGTTTCCGACATCTGGTGGATCGAAACCGAAAGCTTGACTCTCACAAGGCGCGAGTGTGTAAGTCCCTGAAACAATCTGTTTGACACGGTGGATTTTGGTTCAAAAGACGAATGCTTCTGTCAGTGATTACCCCAAAGTCGCCCTAGCTGTTTTGTTTACTTCGCGCCACTTTATCCTTCCCAATAGTTTGTATTGGTTTGAACTGAAAGGACGTATCTTCTTTGTGACGCTGCCACAGCAGCTGAAAAGGAAAGCAAGTATGGCTATTGGGTCAGAATATTTCGTCTAAATACACAGTATAGAATTGAGCCAATGTCTTCAGAGTTCCAGTAGCTCCATAATGTGTCACTGGTAAGTGATGGTCCAATAAAATTACGTCTGGCGTCTTTTTTTTTTCTTTTTTTTTACTTGGACTTGGTCGAAAATGCCACCCACCGCTATTCAGAGGGAAGAAGTGCCGCTAGGGGCGGACCAACCCCCCCCCCCACTTTCCTTTTCTTCCTACGTCCATTGCTACAGTGTGCTGCGTCTGGAAGCTCTTAACCATTGTTGTCAGCCGAAATGGTCAAACGATGGACAGAGTGTTTTTTAACCACACTTTCTCCTTAAATACACATTCACCTTAACCACCAATTCTTCTTAACCACACATTCACCTTTACTGCACATTCACGTTAACTACACATTCACCTTAACCACACATTCACCTTAATCACACATTCACCTTAACCACACATCGCCTTAACCACACATTCACCTCACTCTCAAGATTTTTGTGACTTCGATATCAGGGTTATTACCAAATTAGCGCATCTATATTTTTAAGTAGATGTACTGCCATAGGATTCTGTCAATAAATAAGCTTACCACATAAAACACTTGAGCTTTATCTTCCTTGAATAAACCACAGTTAGCTGCTTGAAATCTGATTGTGTTCAAATTATGGGGGGGGGGGGGGGGGGGGGGGGAGGGAGAAACGAGACCAGTGTTCAACCAAAAAGCCAAGGCTCTGGTTCAAATTTACAACTCACACTCAAGAGCACAATTATTCGATTAACTTTACGGAACAAGGAAAAACTCAAACAAGCATTTGTCAAGCCTGAAACAAATCCGTACGATGAATGAAAAAAAAAACAACACATTTCCACTTATTGGATCGATAAAATTATTTTATCTTAATGGATTATTTATTTACTTTATTGAAAGGTTAATCCTGCAGGATACTTGAATGTACTTAATACAACTAAAAATTATAATCAAGTCATATCAAATCTGACAGTGTCAAATATATATTTTTTATAAGAACACCTTATTTAGACTTTTTGAATCTTTGAGGATGCCCAGGCGATACAGATGGAGGTTTCAGGCGATACAGATGGAGGTTTCAGGCGATACAGATGGAGGTTTCAGGCGATACAGATGGAGGTTTCTTGTTTTCTTGGTGTTTCTAAAGCATCCCAACATTTTAACATAGCTTTAAAAATAACTACATCCGGGGGGGGGGGGGGGGGCACTTCCCCACCCGGGGAAAGCCAAGTGCCCCCCCCCCCCGGAGCAAAAATATGTCCAACAATAAATCAACTGGCACTGCTGGCACTGCCCACCCTCCTTCCCCCCCCCCAAATCTGAAGTGCCCCAACCCCCTCCGGGGGTAAAATTTCTGAAATAATCCCTGGTCATAGGTGGTGAGATGTCTGCAGTTATGAAGGTTTTGTGAAATGGTTTTTGATTGATGAGTTCCTGAGATTGTGTAGGGTGGAAGAAACGCATTTCAGGCCATGGAAAATGACTGGATCTGAAGATCCACGTTCGTATTTTCCTTATATGAGCTTTACAAAATAAAATAAAAATTATCCTGATTTTGCGCTGCGGCCAGGTCGGTCGTGATCGTTTAATGAACGCTTTACTTGGTGCACAACAGGTGAACGTCTTTGCTGTGCGCGGTGCGTAGGACGGCTTTGCTCATCATGACATGAGAACATCGTGTCGAGTGTTCATTTACTTGACGTCTGAACGTTGGGAAACGTATCCTCATTAAAGAATCATTCCTAGACCTGGAACGAGCGACCTGTATCCGAAAAAGCCAGTTGTGGCGAATGAAAAATAAAATTCGCCACGCTACATATACATCATAAAAAGTTATATTAACAAAACACAGAATAAACAGACGAAGTTTGGAAAGCTAGGAACATCACACAAACTAAACATCCTGCTATCTTTAAGAACTATTTGAAGAAAGATGTTATTGTAAAACTAAACAAATTATGGATGATGCATCACACCCTGTTCATCACAGATACTTAGGATCGGCCCGTTCGGGACGAATTCTCTCTCATAAGGCGAGTACTGCAGGATATCAAAAATATTGTGTTCCCCAATCTGTACAGATTTATCATCGTGCTCCCTCAGAAGTCACAAAATCTACACAGAATTAGTAAGTCCCTGTTATGACTAAGGGAGTTCACTTAATGGCTGTTTTTATTCACTAGTGAAGTAATTTAATGTAGAGGTCTTGTGTTTAAATTGTTTCAGTTGAAAAATGTGGAATTTATTAAAACAAATTTTATACGCTGAAAATGTATACGTACAAAGCATTTAAAAAAAAAACATTTCCATTTGTTTGGATCAATAAAAGAATCATATCTTATCCTAACATAACATTAAGAAGTAAACTGTTCAATCATAATATATTATAGTAACCCCTGAAGGCTGGGCCAATGCTATAGAATAGTAAAACAATAAGAGTCGAAAACAATATTTTCAATTGATTGCAAAGAAAATGTTCAACGTTTTGGTTTCGAATTCTGATTATTTTAGGGCCCTACGGATGGCGCGTGCAGAGGCTGTGTGTCTGCAGGGGTCGATAAATAAATGTCAATTGACCAAAAAATGCTATGTTTTGTTCGCCGATAAATATTAATTTAACACTTGTCTTTAATAAATCTGTGTCCAATGGTATGGCTGGCCACTGTAACGTTAAGACATGATCATAGCTTTAACTAACTTATAATGTCAACAGTGTTATTTTTCCTCTCATAGATCTTAGGCACAGAGCCACTTTTCTCAGATCGAGACGCCCGAGCTTGGGCAACAGCGCTGTCAGGTGGACATCCATGATTTCATCTTCATAGAGCAACGTCGTGAACTCAGCCAGTGTGAGGCCCCTGAAGGCCAGTTCCATCGCGGAGTCTATGGCGATCTCCTTTCTCAGTTCTTCTATGAGCAGATCCCTGTTGTAGCATCCTGAGGAGTTTTGTGCCACGCATCTTCTAAACCCGTTGTTCCACTGTGGAGAAAAAACGCTAGAGAGAGACGCTTCCGGTCGTTTCGGTAAAGTAGGCGGGATACTGACTTTTCGGTTTAGAGGATTTGAAGGCAATCTATTCTGGGACGGATTTTGAGATGACTCTTCCTGGTCGTGTGTTGAGCTTGGCATAGCGGAGCCTGGATCGGGGTGTGGTGTGCTTCTATCCTCACTGACACGATATTCAACGTCGTCGAGTTCTTGGTACCCGTCGTCCGAATCAGAGGCAGGTGTAATGTAGTCGTCCGTGCTGCTCAAGGAGCCGTGGAACAGGTAGAATGGCATGAAGGCGGTGTCTGTGGCGTTACTGCTGGAGCGTTCGTTAAGGTTCGCCTCGTCGTGATAACTCACGGGGCCGATGGACACGAACCGGTCCTGGTGTTTGAACACGTTGTACACGTGCATGCTGGAGCCATCTTGTTGCAACTGGTTGTACGAGTTGCCATTGTGACTAACATCGTCAAGAGGGCTCTCTGAGCTTACAGATAGATTAAAACCAGTAGACACCATTTCACCCTCTTCAGATACGACCAGATGTTTGTCCCGCGCAACTTTGATCTCGGAGTCTGCTTGACTGGGGTTTGAACTGGTAGGGCGCCCAGGAGTACACACTATGGGGATCTCCGATGATCCATTGGAAGTAAGGGAATCTGTTTCTTCGACCAAAGTATTTGTAAGATTTGACAACGGAGAGTGTCCCGTTCTCAAGTCTTCTGGTTGTAGGCCGGCAGCCGAGTGTGTTGATAGTGGACGGTCTCCAAAGCTAGACGTTGCTGACGAGGTCCGCTCGGCAGTACTGGAGGTTGCTGATGTTGTTTCTGAGAATATGCCACTGTCGACCTGCTGCTGACCGAATTCTCCACCCTGAAAAGCTTTAGTTCGCATAATTTTTCGTCTCTGACTAAGGTCTCTGGGGTTTATGCTGAAGTCCATAGCATAGACTCCAACGCGCTTGGAGATATCGCTGACATTCGAATCACGGGACCTTCTAGCAGATCCCTGTGATCTTGGACGCATCTGGACAGTGTCTTCCGAATGTGGCTGTTCTGGCTGCCCTGGCTTCGAAATCTCCGGCGTCATGTCTCTCATTTCGCCCCCGTGTTCTTCGTGTGCCTTGTGTCGTGGGTCTGAGCCATTCTCCACACCATCACTTGTGTCGGAGTCAGCGATTACCTAAGACAACAGATGTTGAATTGTTTTTTTTTTTTAATTTTTAAAAAATTATCTACATGATTAAATAAAGAACAAACTTCATTCTAAAATCTCTCATAATCTTATGTTCCCTAATTATGTTGTTTGTTTTAATTGATCGTTCCCTAAACTTGCCTTTATAGCCTTATTGTAAATGGGTGCACGAGATTGGCAGTGGCCAACAGCATTTGTCCACGCCTCACTGGTGGTCAATTCTGTCGTATGCTCTGCCACCTGAAACAAAATGTCCGAATCTGCAAGAATATAGAAATTCATGTTAGCCCATCAGCTCATAATTTAGATTATATTTATATTTTTTTAATTAAAAACCTGGGATGGACATAAATATGCCAATTTGGCACGGAGACAGCGATAGAAATCATAAGTAATAAAACCTTTTGTTTACTCACTACTAATCTAGGTCTACTACCCCAGGCCAGCTGTTCCAGGCCAATTATTCTAGACCAACTATTCCAGGCCAACTGCTCTAAGCCAACTGCTCTAAGCCAACTGTTCAAAGCCAAATCTTCTGGGCCGACTATTATGGTCACCTATTCCAAGCCAACTGTTCAAAGCCAAATCTTCTAGGCCAACTGTTCTTGACCAACTATTCTAAGCCAACTGTTCTTGACCAACTATTCTAAGCCAACTATTCCAAGCCAACTGTTCTTGACCAACTATTCTAAGCCAACTATTCCAAGCCAACTGTTCTTGACCAACAATTCTAAGCCAACTATTCTAAAACAACCGTTCTAGCTCAACTGTTCTTGACCAACTATTCTAAGACAACTGTTCTAAGCCAACTGTTCTTGACCAACTATTCTAAGCCAACTGTTCTTGACCAACTATTCTAAGCCAACTATTCCAAGCCAACTGTTCTTGACCAACTATTCTAAGACAACTGTTCTAAGCCAACTGTTCTTGACCAACAATTCTAAGCCAACTATTCTAAGCCAACTGTTCTTGACCAACTATTCTAAGCCAACTATTCAAAGCCAACTGTTCTTGACAAACTATTCTAAGCCAACTATTCCAAGCCAACTGTTCTTGACCAACAATTCTAAGCCAACTATTCTAAGACAACCGTTCTAGCTCAATTGTTCTTGACCAACTATTCTAATACAACTGTTCTAAGCCAACTGTTCTTGACCAACTATTCTAAGACAACTGTTCTAAGCCAACTGTTCTTGACCAACTATTCTAAGACAACTATTCCAAGCCAACTGTTCTTGACCAACTATTCTAAGACAACTATTCCAAGCCAACTGTTCTTGACCAACTATTCTAAGCCAACTATTCTAAGCCAACTGTTCTTGACCAACTATTCTAAGACAACTGTTCTAAGCCAACTGTTCTTGACCAACTATTCTAAGACAACTATTCCAAGCCAACTGTTCTTGACCAACTATTCTAAGACAACTATTCCAAGCCAACTGTTCTTGACCAACTATTCTAAGCCAACTATTCTAAGCCAACTGTTCTTGACCAACTATTCTAAGCCAACTGTTCTAAGCCAACTGTTCTTGACCAACTATTCTAAGACAACTATTCCAAGCCAACTGTTCTTGACCAACTATTCTAAGACAACTATTCCAAGCCAAATGTTCTAGACCAACTATTCTAAGCCAACTATTCTAAGTCAACTGTTCTTGACCAACTATTCTAAGCCAACTATTCCTGGCCAACTGTTCTTAGCCAACTATTCTAAGCCAACTGTTCTTGACCAACTATTCTAAGCCAACTATTCCAAGCCAACTGTTCTTGACCAACTATTCTAAGCCAACTATTCTAAGCCAACTGTTCTTGACCAACTATTCTAAGCCAACTATTCCAAGCCAACTGTTCTTGACCAACTATTCTAAGCCAACTATTCTAAGCCAACTGTTCTTGACCAACTATTCTAAGCCAACTATTCCAAGCCAACTGTTCTTGACCAACTATTCTAAGCCAACTGTTCTTGACCAACTATTCTAAGCCAACTATTCCAAGCCAACTGTTCTTGACAAACTATTCTAAGCCAACTATTCTAAGCCAACTGTTCTTGACCAACTATTCTAAGCCAACTATTCCAAGCCAACTGTTCTTGACCAACTATTCTAAGCCAACTGTTCTAAGCCAACTGTTCTAGCTCAACTGTTCTTGACCAACTATTCTAAGCCAACCATTCTAAGCAAACTATTCTAAGACAACCGTTCTAGCTCAACTGTTCTTGACCAACTATTCTAAGCAAACTATTCTAAGCCAACTATTCTAAGCCAACTATTCTAAGCCAACTATTCTAAGCCAACTATTCTAAGCCAACTATTCTAAGCCAACTATTCTAAGACAACTATTCTAAGACAACCGTTCTAGCTCAACTGTTCTTGACGACTATTCTAAGCCAACTATTCTAAGCCAACTATTCTAAGACAACTATTCTAAGCCAACTATTCTAAGCCAACTATTCTAAGCCAACTATTCTAAGCCAACTATTCTAAGCCAACTATTCTAAGCCAACTATTCTAAGACAACTATTCTAAGCCAACTATTCTAAGCCAACTATTCTAAGCCAACTATTCTAAGCCAACTATTCTAAGACAACTGTTCTAAGCCAACTGTTCTCAGCCAAATATTCTGGGCCAACTATTCTAGGCCAACTGTTATAGACCAACTATTCTAAGCCAACTTTTCTAAGCCAACTAGTTGCCAAATATTCTAAGCTAAATTTTCTTTTCTAAATTGATCCCAGTGTTGCCTGAGTTATGTAAAGTTAGGAAATCACTTTTTAGCACCATTCCCCAAACCATATAAAGTATTTTTCTGGTGTAGAACTTTAGTTCGTTATAACATTTTTTTGTGTATTAATTTTGGCCCAGATCTGTCACTCGAAAACATTTTATTTCAAATTTGCAAAGTGTAAAACACCTTGTAAAATATATTTTAAAAAAAAAAAAAACAGATTTTTAAGCTAGTCTTATCTTTGATTGAGTTCAAGGGCAGTAACTTTAAATCTGTATTACTAAACACAAGTAGATTTAGCCCCCCTTCCCCCACCCCCCCCCCAACCCGTTTACTTTACTAATGCTTCATGCTTATCATGACAATTAGTTATACTTTTAATTTTTTTTCAGGTAATGAAATATTCGATTAATGCAAATTTATGCACCAGATCAGCAATATAATTCTCTAGGTATGAAAGAAAGTACGGTGACATGATGAGTTCAATAGCGCACAAAATAGTATTACCGAAGCGTTCATCAAATTTTTTTAAAAATTAAAATGAGACAAGAGAAAGCTTCAAATCTAAAACCACAGTTTATAAAAAGAAAAGTGAATTATTATTATTGTTTTCTTACTTAGCGGAAACTCAAGGCTTGTGAGGTGAGTCTTAAACATGGTCGACGCGACAACTGTGTCTTCAACGTCCGCATTGGTCAGGAGGAACGTGCCCGTGAAGCCACACGAGACAGCCGGCACCAAGCCGTGGAGCAGCTTGACGATCAGTGGTAATTTGTGCCTGGATTGAAATGGTACAAATGACGTAAACAATCAGTGGTAATTTGTGCCTGGATTGAAATGGTACAAAGTACAAATGACGTAAACAATCAGTAGTAATTTGTGCCCGGATTGAAATGGTACAAAGTACAAATGACGTAAACAATCAGTGGTAAATTTGTTTGTGCCTGGATTGAAATGGTACAAAGTACAAATGACGTAAACAATCAGTGGTCATGTGTACCCGGATTGAAATGGTACAGATGACGATAAACGATAAATGGTAATATGTGCCTGAATTTAATTGGTCATCTTTAAACGGTTTAACACAACAAGAGCCTTTTGAAAAAAATCTGACCCCTTTCCCCCCTCTGCATGTTACAGATCTAACAATCTTGCTGGAAAAAAAAAATCGTATTTAACAATTCAAATATTGGCACCGAATTCAACCGACTCGTCTACCTCCTTATAATATCTTTTATCTGCACGGCCACGGTCTCCTCGTCACTGACTGCCCCATCTTGGGCGATGACGTAGAACAGTCCCCTCTGTTTGGAGTTGAGTAGAATGCTCCTGTCCTTCTCGTCGTGATACATAAAGAAGGACTGCGGCTCATTCTCGTCCCCTGGCGTGCCGCAGCTGAACAGCGTGCCGACGTGTCTTTCCTCGCCGGTGGTGAACTTCGCCAGTGCGGACAAGCCCCCGTGGAAAACGTGGTTGCCCGCCTTTCTCAGGATGTCCCCTGGTAACACTTGATGGGGAATGTGCCTGACTGAGTTGTGACAGCTCATCACCTGTGAAACAAGATCTTCAAAAGTCCAGCTCAACTCATTTCAAATAAGATCTTTAAAAGTCCAGCTCAACTCATTTCAAATAAGATCTTTAAAAGTCCAGTTCAACTCATTTCAAATAAGATCTTTACAAGTCAAGTTCAGCTGATTTCAAATAAGATCTTTACAAGTCAAGTTCAGCTGATTTCAAATAAGATCTTTACAAGTCAAGCTCAACTCATTTCATTTAAGATCGTTAAAAGTTAAGTTCCCATTTTGCAAGTTTTTAATGTATGTAACACATCTTCAAAATGATATTAGAGAGTTTGCTTTTTAAATTAAAAAAGAATAATTGAAGCTAATTTTTTTTTCTTTCTAAACATATAAACTAAACTAGTTTTATGTGTAAACCCTGGGTAAGTGTAATACTGCATATATCATACTATAGTGTTAACATTGCTGGGACGTTAACAATCCTGATAGCTAAATGGGCGAGATATGTGAAATATAACAATGCATATTTTTTAACACTATATTTTTTAACACTGCATATTTGTAAAAACTCCATATTTTTTAACACTGCATATTTGTAAAAACTCCATATTTTTTAACACTGCATATTTGTAAAAACTCCATATTTTTTAACACTGCATAATTGTAACACTGCATATTTTTTAACAAACAATAATATTAAATTAGGAGACGGATTTCTAGTATAAGTCAAACTGCCACCTACCAAATAGCAAGGGATGGGACTGATGCCGCCTATCAGGAAAGAGGTCATCTTGGACTGGTTGAGATGTGAAAGTGTCCGGTACGGCGTCGCCGATTTAAGACAACTTGCATCAACTTTAGCGCTAAGGATTGCGAACCAACCTTCATGGGAATATACGTATTGTTACAATTGACTAAAAATTTAGGGCTCATAATTGAAAAAAAAATGCGACATTCCTTGAACTTATATAAAAACAAAAAAATCATAGTCAAAAAGTTTGTGTTCATAAGAATCGAAGATGAATTGACCAAACAATTCTGTATTTAGGGTCGTCTTAAATCCTTAGTGGACCATTCAATATGGGGATTTTTTTTATTATTTTTTTTTTTTTTTGTGGTGGCGGTTTTGAAAAGGAAGCAGGACGCACCAGAAGCAAAACCTATATCAGAGACTTATTGTTTTGTATTGTCTGCTGAAGAAAGCATTTAGACGAAGAGTCCTTTCAAATTGTTCTGTGGTCTTTCTTTTTTCTTTCGAGTCTAAACATATCTTGCTCCAACACTTGTTTTGTTTTTTTAAACATAAAATGTTTGAACGGCTTGATTGATTTTAAAACGTGCCGTCCTTTGGCTTATCTGCGTAAACCCTGCACTATTGTCTCACTCCTACTCCCAGGCCATAGAGCGAACCTTCTTTAAATCTCGTTTTCGCGTTACCTCAGCAGAGTAAAATTTACGTGACTTCAAGAAATCCATTTTTTATAGTATTAAAATAAACATATGCGAATCGAAAACAGATTTCGCCATGAATGGTGACGGAGTTTACAGACTCGCGTAGAACAAAAAAATAATTGAACGGTTTAAAAAGTCTGCGTTAAATTGGAGCCCTATGTGTCTGTTCCTATCATATCATTAAGTTCAAGCTTTTTGGTTCAGTGTTTCTTTCAGGCATTTCTCTGAGGGCGGCATGGGGGGCAGTGAAAGTCGAGTCTCCCCCCTCCCAACTCTTTCGGAGAGAAGCGTGTACAAAAATGGAGCAACAATATAATATAATGTATATAATATAATATATATATATATATATATATATATATATATATATNAAATATTTGATGATAATCCGAAAATTAAAGGCAAACTGAGCATTCGATTATATATATAATTTTTGTTTCCCATAATAGGCTGCAGCCCAACTACTTCCCATGGAGCGGTATTTTTTTAACGTATTTATTGTTTACAACCAATATTTATTTCAGGGTTGCTAATCTATAAAAAAAAAAAAAAAAATGTCATTTCAGCAGTTTTTGATAAACTTTATGTTTGTTTTATTTTTGTACACAGTATTCACCGGGAGGGGAGGGAGCAGTTTACTTTCTCCGGAGGGCACCCCCCAACACCCCGGCCTCCCTTTGAGCGATGCCTGAAAGACCCACTGCTCATATATTGATACACGATCACTCACAAGACCCACTGCTCATATATTGATACACGATCACTCACAAGACCCACTGCTCATATATTGATACACGATCACTCACAAGACCCACTGCTCATATATTGATACACGATCACTCACCGGCGTAGTCCTCTGGTATCAACAGGTCACTTCCGGTCACCTTCAGCTCTCTCCTGTCACAATCCCACGTCATGCTTGTGGCGCTGACCTTTTGGACTGACCTTTTGCTGAAGGCTAAGATGGGCTTTGATAAGTCCAGGTGGCTCTCCCTAAACGTGCCCATGTCACAGTGAATAACTCTGGAGTCGGATGCAATGAAAAAAATAATAATTTAAGAACATGAACTGGACATTTAAACCAAACAAATCAAAGCCACCATTTTAATTATCGTTTCAAAAATAATTGTAACACCGATATTTCAAGATTAAACAACTAAAATGCAATAATTCGATTATGTTGTTACTTATAACTTTATCTAGAGACCATACATATTTTTAAAAAATGTAAATTAAAAATCTAGTAATTATTCATTGCATCGTATACGCTATCTCGTGTTCATCACGCATGATTACAAGCTCCACAGAGGATCTTTTTCAGCTTTAAATTTGCTGTGTGCTCGTTTGTTTGTTTCTAGTCTGTTTGTTTGTTTTAACATGATAATTGTATAGTTTTGGCCCGTCCTCCAACCCCCCCCCCCCCAGGCGGCGCTTACCCATGTTACGCACCTTCGCATAATCACCACGGCTTCTCGAAGAGGTCAATTTTCTAAAAGTTGTTTTTTCTGCTGAACCTACCTTGGTAAAACATACTTCTTGACAATGTCGTCCAGGATCAGCAGCTCTTTCTTGAACGTGAGCGTCAGCTGATGGTCACGCTTCCGTTGACCGGTCGCCTCACCCATGACAGACTCTCGTTGTTGTTACGCCTACCTTTCACATGGGGCTTCTGTGGTATATCTACTTAAGTTTTCCGCTGTATTCAAAAATAATAATGATAAACACGTGCAGTAAAACAATGAGTATATTTTTAAAATAATAATAATAATAATAATAACGATTATTTGAAAATCACGCGAACATAGTGTTGACAGGAATTGGTGGGGATATTCATATACGAAAGTGACCCATGAAGTCAAAGAATTTGGGTTTGAGATTAAAATAAATACATAAATTAGATGGGGAAAAAAATGGGGGGGGGGGGGGTACAAATTACTATTTTAAAAGAGAGCGAATGCTGCATAGATAAGGACGGTGTATATGAGGCAAGCATCTTTTAAAGAACACAGAAGGCGAATGTAAAGATCACAGAGGGCAAATGGGTTTGTGATTTACCTACAGATTGTTGGAACTCTCGGCAAACACAAATAAAAACAATGTGTCTCCTAGAGCCCACTGTTCTTACTTAACAACCACAATTTCTTTCTCTTTGAACCACAATTTCTTTCTCTTTGAACCAAAATTTCTTTCTCTTTTAACCAAAATTTCTTTCTCTTTGAACCACAATTTCTTTCTCTTTGAACAAAATTTCTTTCTCTTTTAACCACAATTTCTTTCTCTTTGAACCACACTTTCTTTCTCCTCTAACATGTAAATAAATAGAACACATAGACGTTATTCACTGTTGATATAAATTGGTCTGCATTGATAAGAGTACTTGTATTTTGTTCAATTTCTGATTTAAAATCTCTCCGAAATTTAACATCAGCGGAGCTATTTATACCAGCTATAATTGAACACACAATGCCCTCCTGAGTAGAGGACCAAACAACTGTGATCACTAATTACCCAGAAGACAAGGCACCATTTTGTTTACACAAAATATAAACACAAACTATTTAAGGTGTCTTGGGTGAAAATAAAAACATCGGCAAGAAAACCAAGCGAGTTAAAAGTGAATCTCATTTCAAAATCTTCTAATCAATATTTCAAATGTACACGTCGTTGTAACGATGGATCCTGATGATAGATGGCAGTGCCTGCTGTTGTGCTTAACATAAAGATATTAAGCCAACACGAAAACGGCTGATATTGGCGAACATTTAAAATATTATACACGACACGATATATTCTTAAGAAAATATTACATAATAAATCTTGCAAAAAAAAAAATATATATATTTTACATACAATACTTACCTATAAAACTCACATTTAAAAAAAACAATCTATGAAAGAAATCTACCTTCACAACGCGATGACAAAGACGTGCTCTAAGTCGCATATTCACAAACTGCACATAAGTGACAGACTTACAGGGCTCTAACTTCCAAAAAAACAATTACAAATTCAGTGTATCTCCGTTGTTGAATTTTATACCCTCGGCCAACCGGGTTAAAATAAGAATCCAATGCGCCAGTTCTAATCGTAGATCCACCGTGTCTTCCATGTACATTGAACTTCCGGGTATTCCCATTTCCGATAGGTAACAAGCCGTTGAAGGCAATCAGCAGAGCGGGTCCCTGCAACATTTCAAAACTACCAGGCTGGTTATCACGTTTCCTCAACCCACCCCCCCTCCCCCACGCCCTACCCTCCACCCATTCTTGCGTCACACGTCGAGATTAAAATAACGATGCGTGAAACGCAAGTAACGTCACTGCGTCGTTAAAGCCACGAGGGCCATATAAAGACATCAAGTACAAACATGACACATTTAGCTTTGAACATTTCCCCCCCAAGACCACCACCGCTAAAGGCTATGGGAAATCAAATCGTTGTGGCCTCGTTACGCAATCTAAAAATACAAAATACATTTCATAAACGAGGCTTTTGAAAATCGTATCATTGCGCTTATAATTATAATAAATTTTGGGGGGAAATTTGACACCATTTTGCGGCGGGTAAAATGCAAAGAAAACGCAATATACATTTGTTATAAAATAGACACACAGACACACACATATATTATGTATATATATATATGAACATACGAGTTTGAGTTTCGATCAAGAGCAATGAAAAGCAATTTATGTTCAAACCATGAGAGATACCCGTGGCAATAAGAGAAAAAAACAAAGCTCATTGATGTAAGCATCCGGGTACTTTTTTCTCATTACACACCAATATTGTGTATTAGACTTTATTAGAGAGTAATTAACGGGCCCCTGTCACAAACAAGTATATTCAAATAATACATTTATTATTATTGTTTGTGACTTGATAAAGGTAGCACATGATCATAGAGGCAGATGAATCAGTTTGCCATGTTCTAATGATTTATTTTTTTTAATTTTTTTTTTTAGCACCGCTCTTGTAAGTGTAAGGGTGTCCATCGTGTCAACATACTTCAGATAGCAGATAATCAGAATGTCAGAAACGTACTAGCTGGGAAAAAGGAAGTTGTTGCTTAGAATCTACCTGGTAGATGGTTGACCTATATGAAATCTCGAAGCTAGAAATATTGACTTATGTTAAATCGCGTTTATGTTCCCCGAGAAGCAATAAAAATATAACTGAGTTTATGTTAGATGTAGGACTAATCGAGGTCATTCAATTATTGACGCTATATTTTAATAAATAAATATTACAGTGTCCCATTGTGATCTCTAAAGCCCTTGACTTCACCTTACCATTGTTGGCGGAGGGTAATACAGTCATATTTCAGCCTTGACTTCACCTTACCTGTTGGGGGGGGGGAGGGTAATACAGTCATATTTCAGCCTTGACTTCACCTTACCTGTTGGGAGGGGGGGGAGGAAAATACAGTTATATTTCAGCCTTGACTTCACCTTACCATTGTTGGGGGAGGGTAATACAGTCATATTTCAGTTGAAAGTATGTTGCTTTATATTGAAAATTTTAGTGACTCTTTTAACTTACAGGTAAATCAAAATATTGATTCTTTTGCCATCGGCACACGTGCCCAACCCCCCACCCCCACCCCACAAACACACACACACACACACACACACCCCGACCATTTTGCCTCTGCACACCTGGAAGGTAACAACTGTCACAGGGAGCAACAGTTAACTGGAAGGTAACAACTGTCACAGGACGCAACGGCCTACTTGAAGGTTATTGTGATTTAAAGTTTGTGTTTTCGAAGTTACCTATGTAATCTAATCTGTAACATCTGTAACCCATAACCCATATCTAATGGTAAAACGTACCAGATGCTCCAAGTGATGAACGTAACAACGGTCTAGCTGCTACGAGAAATTAAAACACTCTAAAAGTCCAAGTAATAACAAATATCAACTTTATTTCCAACTCCAAAAGTAAAATAATCAAAAATCAATATAAATCTACGTAGAATAAACATGACATGAACAAAATAATGATACCATATTCAGGAGATAAATCCTTATCACCTGCTGACTCACAGAGGAAGTTTAAAATAAACAGCATGACAGTTTAGTTTACTATTAACTGTACGGGGTGTTCCTTGTTAATAACGGAAATACTGAGAGGTTAACTAGCAGCATGATTGAACGCGAGATCAGTAATGTATGATTGAGAAAATAGATATATCGGGGTGCTCAATGCTTACGTAAGTTACGTCTGATACCAATCAACAATCAATTAATGATAATTAAAAAAAAAGGGAAATTCCACGGAGTCTTCTAATTCAGTAACGGATTTTGATCTGTCTTTAATACTTTGCCCTATAGCAGTGCTAGCGTATGCAAGATGCTGAAAGGGTTGATTGTAGAGTGTCAATTAATTGCGGGTCTTGGGCCTCCCTCAGAAAGTATCCAGTTATTGTTGCTCGAGTGTCAATGTGTATGTTTCTCATAACTCTCTCTAATGTTAGGTTAAATAACATACAAGACAGTGAGTCTCCCTGTCTTAGGCCTCGTCTAATCTGAAATTACCTTGAATATTCTCCTTACGGACCTTGATTTTGATTTTTGAGTTGTTCAATACTACATGTACCAGTCTGGTCAGTTTGTTGGGTATGCCAAACTCCTGCAGAGTCTCATAGAGATACTTTATTTTGATGCTGCCATAGGCCATTTTATAGTCCACATAGAGTTGATGTACTGGGATATTATATTTATAACATTTATCGAAGGCATCTGATGATGAAAATCTGATCAGTCGTTGTTTTGTCTTGTCTGACTCCACATTGGTAATCACCTTGGTTTTCTTCAGTGTACGGTTTTAGTCTTTGACAATTAGCTTCGTCGGTATTTTTTATGAAACATTTAATAGGTAGATTCCTCAGTTTGTGCACTGAAGTTTGGAGCCTTTCTTGTGTATTGGGGTTATTAACGCTGTTTCCAATTCTGTTAGAATTTTCTCTTCTTGCCAAATTGTATTTATACGTTTATGTATCTGAGTGTGTAGGTCAAGGGTGACACAACTAGAATGATTATCGTCTCACTGGAGCCGAATTGAAGATGTCTTTGGTCATTATTATGGCTAATTTTGGCAGTCACCACCCGAAATTTTGAAATGCAACCTCAAAATTGTCTGGAAAAAAAATCAAGTATGCGCCAAAATGCACCCCTGCATTTTGAGTTTGCCTGACTGTCTTTAGCGCCCTAAATTTCTGCACCCCTTCACTCAAGATGATCAATGGTACAGTATAGGGATGATTATAAGCGTGTGCCAAATGATTACCCTGAGGCATACCACAAACTGAGTGAATTCATTTAATGTATGGCACTGGGTGCCATAATGCCTCCCACAAAACCTTAAAAATGTCCTTCCCCATTCACAAAGTATAATAGAAACATTGAATTCAAATATCCTCAAAAAATGCACCTCTTGATTTTAATATAATCAAAAATTTTCTGGGGAGCTCCCCAGACCCCTCCACCGATAAAGATTCATCGGCGCCCTCAATGTCCCCTCTACTTCCTGATGAAAATTATCCCCGATTTCGGTATCGATAGATCCACTGCCTAGTGGCGCAGCTACTATTACTGCCGTCGTAGCAAGCATATATTTTTGCCGTCCTCCCTTTCACGATACACTTTGCAGTTGTCCGAAAATGCAACACTTCATAATAAAGAAAAAGTGAAAACTCAGTGGACCACCCAATCCACCTTATTTCGACGCCACTAGAAGGTGCGTATCTATAGTGTTTGGCGTCAAGGGATAAGATTCATTTTTTCCCCCCCCCCCTTTTTCCCCCAACTCTGAAACTGATTATTTTCCACTATTAAATACCACCAAAACCCAATTTGCCCCCACCCGCTTGTCTGGCCCCCAGAGACATATGCCCCATCACCCCCCTTAGCAATGCCTCTGGCCACTGGCAAATAGCACAGCCCCCCCCCCCAAAAGAAAAAAAATAATAATAATAATTGAAATGCCCCCTCCCCCGGGTGAAAATGTCGGAAAGGAACAACCTGGGAGGGGGGGTACCCACTTATTTGTTACTGTTACTTCAAGTGGGTAAAGGAGAGTTGAAAAAAGGGGGGAGGGGAGGAACGCATTGGTAACACACAGAGCACCCGTGTCAGACAGCGAGGACTGCATTGGTAACACATAGTGCACCCGTGTCAGACAGCGAGGAATGCATTGGTAACACATAGAGCACCCGTGTCAGACAGCGAGGAATGCGTTCCATGCATAGTAAATCAAAGCTCATTTTTTGAGAAAATTTGGAAGAAAATCAGAGCATTTTTAAAAAATGGTCTTTTGCTTTTCTGGAGGATATATCCCAAATTATAAGGGGGGTGGGGGATCCCAGTTTATTTATTCGTGTTCCAAATTTCTTGTCGATTTCAACACTAGAAACATAAAATCTTAATGAACATGATATCTATGAAAGGTTTTACGGTTCCCATTTTGACACACACAAATTTATGAAATAGTTTTAATTCACCAATATTTGCAAATAAACAAAAATGTGTGTGTGCGTGCGTGTGTGTGTGTGTGTATGTGACTTAAGGAAACGTCTGGTGTTTTAGAAACATTTTTCCGCTGCAACCGTGCGTTAAGACTCCGGTGTTGTGTTTAGTAACAAATGTAAGCGGTAATCTTTCGATGCCTCGTCAGATGAGAGAGTATCACGACCTAAATTTTTCATAGATAGAGAACACCACCCAGGAATTAAAAAGTATCCGAAATTTTTGGAGGCTTGCAAAGAGACGCAAATAATCAAAGAACACCGTTGGCTGGTGACATTACGGTTGGTTGGGGGGGGGTGGACAGGAAGCATGATACTTTATTTAGAAATTAATAAATAAAATTAGCATAAAACCTAACCTGTGAGAATGTTATCATCCACCAGTACTATATAAGTAATAGACTAGACTAGGATTTTCCCCATCTTCTGATCGTCTGCATTACGTTCACTGAACATATTAGTTCCTGTTTCTTGGACAAGGTACGGTGACCAGATTTTTTCTGGGGGCAA